TAGCTGTTACCACTCAAGAAAGAGATCTTGAAGTCATTGTGGATAGTTTTCTGAAAACATCCACTCAATGTGCAGCAGCAGTCAAAAAAGAGAACAGAATGTTGGGAATCATTAGGAAAGCAATAGATAAGATAGAAAATATCATATTGCCTCTATACAAATGCACAGTACCCCCACATCTTGAATACTGCGTTCAGATGTGGTCGCCCCATCACCAGAAAGATATATTGGAATTGGAAAAGGTACAGAAAAGGGCAATAAAATGATTAAGGGTATGGAACAGCTTCCATATGAGGAGAGATTAATAAGACTGGGTCTTTTCAGCTTGGAAAGAGATGACGGGGGCGGGGGGGAGGGAGGGGGCGCGGAGGTATGACAGAGGTCTATAAAATGACTGGTGTGGAGAAAGTAAATAAAGAAGGGTTATTTATTCCTTCTCATAACACAAGAACTAGAATGAAATTAATAGGCAGCAGGTTTAAAACAAAAAAAAAAAAGGAAGTATTTCTACACACAACGTACAGTCAGCCTGTGGAACTCTGTGCCAGAGGATGCTGTGAAGGCCAAGACTATCACAGAGTTAAAAAAAGAACTAGGTAAGTTCATGGAGGATAGGTCTATCAATGGCTATTAGCCAGGATGGGCAGGGATGGTGTCCCTAGCCTCTGTTTGCCAGAAGCTGGGAATGGGCGACAGGGGATGGATCACTTGATGATTACCTGTTCTGTTCATTCCCTCTAGGGCACCTGGTATTGGCCACTGTCGGAAGACAGGACACTGGGCTAGATGGACCTTTGGTCTGACCCAGTATGGCTGTTCTTATGTTCTGTTTTTCAAAAGAAACCTTTAAAAATAAAATTGAAATTGACTAATACCTAAACTTATTACATGCAGTATTATTGTAGCCGGGTTGGTCCCAGGATATTAGAGAGACACGGTGGATGAGGTCGTATCTTTTATTGTACCAACCTCTGTTTGTGAGATAAGCTTTCGAGCTTACATAGAGCTCTTCTTCTAGTTCTAGGTCTAGTTGTAGGAGGAAAGAAAAGAGGGGGGGAGGCAGTGTGGGCAGGGGTTTCTTAGGGCTTGTTTACACTGGCGATTTATAGCTCTGCAACTTTCTCGCTCAGGGGTGTGAAAAAACACCCACCTGAGCGCAGCAAGTTTCAGCGCTGTAAAGCGCCAGTGTAGACAGTGCACCAGAGCTGGGAGCTACGCCCCTCATGGAGGTGGTGGTGTTGTTTGTTTTTTTAACAGGGCTGGGCGAGCGCTCTCCCAGCGCTGGTGCCGCGACAACACAAGCCACGTTAAAGCACTGCCGCAGCAGCGCTTTAGCATTGTCAATGTAGACACGCCCTAAGTGGGTTAAAGATTGTTGTAATAAGTCATAAATCCCGAGGGGTGTTAATAGGCCTCTTCACCATGAATGGTCCCTTGAAATACATGTTAACTGTTTATGCTAAACAATCTGTCCCACTTGTATTTAGCTGTGACACTGAGCCCTGGTCTACACTGGGGAGTTGTGGGGGGGAGAATCTATCTAAATTACGCAACTTCAGCTACGTGAATAACGTAGCTGAAGTCGACGTATTTAGATCGACTTACCGTGGTGAGTCAACTACTACCGCTCCCCCATCAACTCTGCCTACGCCTCTCGCCGAGCTGGAGTACAGGAGTCGACGGGAGAGCGCTCGGGAGTCAATTTATCGTGTCTAGACTAGACGCGATAAATCAATCCCCAGTGGATCGATCGCTGCCCGCCAATCTGGCCGGTAGTGAAGACATACCCTCAGTAAGTTTCCCACACCTGAAGAAACGCTGTGTGTCACCTCAAAAGTTTGTCTCTCTCTCACCAACAGAAGTTGGTCCCAGAAAAGATATTACCTAACCCACCTTGTATCGCTAAACTTATAATAATATATTAAAATAATTTCAATTAGATACAAAAAATATTAGGCAGTACATGTTTGCGACCAAGTTTTAAAGAATGTCAAAAAACTTAACTGCTGGAAGTCACTGGCTAAATATCTGGAACCTCACTTTACTGAAGTGCTAAACCAAACTTTTGACAGCAGTAGCCTCTACTGCTGGTGCAGAGGGAATATCTCCGTCATTAAAATTTCTTCAACTATATTATTTCAATTACTAGTTCAAAGTTAAAAAACTAACTGGAGTTGAAAAAGCAGGAAAGCTATGAATAAAAATTAGGTGAAAGAGGACAAGGTCTAGTAGTTCTAAAATCTTGAAGGACAAAGCTGATTGGAAACATTCAGTTCAATTCACGAACGATAAATAATACTTTTTTTAATTACTGAACTAGCTAGTTTTACATGTAAAAGCTGTTTAGATAAGAAAGTTTATGCATCCAGCACATTTAAGGTGGTTGTTTTTTTTGTTTTTTTTTTTTTAAACTGATGTTTTTGTGCATTTTTAATTGAGTTTGAGTTTCTATCCAAATACAGCTTCACACAAATTGCAAGCAAAGAAGTTAAGCTATATAATTGATCTAAGTCAATGGTTTTCAACCTGGGGTCCGCAGACTATGTTAAGATTTCCAAAGAGGTCCACTCCTCCATTTGAAATTTTTGGAGGCTCCACAAATGAAAAAAGGTTGAAAACTGCTGATATAAATAATGTATCTAGACACAATGTATCTTCAGGGTTAGCACAAATCAACATGTTTTAATGGTTATCAACCAATGATAATCAACTTTGTTTAGGAAAATAACTAAGTAGTACAAATGCAAACAATTACAATTGGTGATTTAAATCAATCCAGGCCTTTCATGACTCTCTTCTCACTTCACACCACGTCACCCCCACACTCATCCTTCAACCTGCCAGTGTCTGCTTTTCCCACACTTGAAGTCCATGCTGCCCCCTTCACCCAGGGGGCACCCTTCCCAAATTCATCTGCAAGACCCCTACTCTCTTCTCTTTCAAATCCCTCCTCCAGGTCCACTGCTTCTACAGTCTCTACAAGTAATTAGCCAAATCAAAGACAAGTTGAAAGGAAGGCACGTTTAGTTAATGAGAATTTATTTATTAATTCATTATTATACTCATGTTTAAAAGATGTATCCCTCTCCTGTGAAGGTGAATTGCCATTTTAGATAATGACTTCTTTAAAGTAGAGACCATGTCTTACATTCCTGAGTAGGGCCGTTGGTTGCTACCGCTTATCGAAACAACTAGTAAAATCAGCTACTAAAAGTCTGGCCAAAAAGCTAAACAAAGTTCTCCAGACCAGCACAAAGCTTCATCAACAGCTCCCTGCAGAAGAGAAGGAATTTTGGGACAGTATTCCATTTCTATGGTCAAACCCAACTGTTTGGATGCATGGGAAGACACATGTGCTTATGAGCACATCTTGGTAGATGACTCCTGAAACTCTCCAGCACAGGAGAAATGGGGATATAGAGAAGCAATTCTCAAAGTGAAGGCTCCAGAACACAGTAACCCACAAACCCAGGAATGCTGCACAGAGACTGATCAAACTCCACAATTAAGGAAGGTAAGAGAAAAAATAAGAATGGCATGCAGAAACCAGGTCATTCTAGCCAGCTCACACATTCATGTCACTGCTTACAGGAATGCGTTTGTGCTGCATCCAACAACTGCCTATGCTCGACCTGCCCATTTGAAAACAAGGGCCATTAAACACACACACCCCTGAAATTCAAGGAGTAACTCAGGTGAGCACGCAAAACCTTTGCACGATGGCCTTGACAAGAAGATGGATGTTTACAGAAGAGTTTAAGTTCCAAAGTCCTTCTGAATGACGCAGGACAGGGAGTGCAACAGACTAACAAAAACACCCAGTTATATTACTCGGGATAACTTGTTTTATGTTCTCTCTTTCTTTATTTACATATAGAAAGGACAAACTCTCCTGCTTTGGGGTATAAATCATCGGATGGGGAAGTTTCTTCCTAACTTATGGGCAGATTATTCCATAACTGTCTGCTAGATGGATTCCTGCACCTCCCTCTGGAGCACCTGGTAAGGCTACTGTCAGAAACAAGATTCTGAAAAAGACTGGTCCAGGTCTCACCTGATATCACCCCAAAGGGGCACCTCTGCTTGACAAGCCAGCAAAAACAGTCCAACCAGGAGTTCAGATGACTGCAAGCCTGCACCTACGCACCTGATGCCATCTCTTCCTCTGAGACCATGTATTACAAAGACAATAGCCACCCCCGCCCCAACCAGTTGCATCTTATGTCCAGGACATTCAAGTCACAGCACACCCCTGGGTCCCCGGTCACACCAGAAATTGGATTCCCACGGACACCACTGGCCAGCTTGCGCAGAAGGAAGTTTCAGCTCCCTGAGGCAAGCCCCGGCCAACCTGCCGCCTTGAGACAGGGCTGATTCGCTTCTCCCCAGGGCAGGGTGTCAAACCTCGCCACCGTGCGGGTCGCTTCTCCCCAGCCTGTCTCACAGACACCGCGTGGAGGGCCCCGAGCTCCAGCTTCTGAGCGGGGCTGAGACGCCGGGCCCGGGCCCCCAGGAGCGCCAGGCCGCTGGGCAGCCCCGGGGGGGCAGAGGGAGCCCGGGCCGCGGCGCCGTCTCCCAGGTAACGGGGCCTCGCTCACCATCCATCGCACCACACGCGGACGGGCCGGTGGGCGGCGGCGCTGCCCCCCGCGGGGCTGGGGGACGCCTTGGCCGCTCCGTTCCGCAGCATCTCGGACGAGCCCTGGACTCCCGCCCCGGAGCCGTCACCGGCCGGAGCCGCCTCAGTCACCTGACCGGGGGCGGGGATAGGCCGGCCCAGGGCGCCGCCATCATGGAGAGATCACGTGACAACCACCCCAGCCGGTCTCGCCCCTCCCTCCCCGGGGCGGGGCGGAGGGAGCCGGCCCCGCCCGCGGGGCTGTAATGCCAAGGCCGCGGCCACATGCCCCCAGCCGGAATCCCCCCCCCCTCCGTCCCTCCCCCCGGCCGGGCACAGTCGGGCTCCCGCACCCAGCCCAGGGTCACCCCCACCAGCCAGGCACAGACCCGCAGGAGAGTCCAGGCTTTCTTTACTTAGCGAAAAGAACCCCGCCAGGCGGGGAAAGGGCAGGTGCACCAGCCTGCCCCTGCTGCTAGAGAGCAGAGTGAAGTGCTGAGGTTAAGGGGAAGGGTTCAGACTGCAAGCCCCGTTGCCCAATACCCAGCTGTCCTCCGAGCTCTGTCTTCGCATCGTAAATAGTTGCATGAAAATACGGTATGGCTCCTGCAGTTTTTTCCAGTTGCCCCCACCTCAGACCAGCAGAGTCTGTGTGGAGTCCATGGCAAACCCAGCTGAGTCCAGGGCAGTAGGGAAAAGCCATCCGGAAGGGCACCAGCTGATGTATTTCCATAAAAATATAGTGTTCAAATGGCAATTTACAAAGTCAATTTACTTTTTTCCTCTTGGAGCCTTTTGCACAACCCCTGCCAAACCAGCCACCCGAGAGAGAGAGGCTGAGCTGAGAAGCTGGCTCTTGCTGCTGCTCTTGCATCTGCGCCTCCTCCAGGCTCCATGGTGGTGCCACGGGTCTCCGACTGTGACTGCCTTCTTCATCGGGGCTAAGGGGAATAGCCAGAGAGAAGATAGGATCCTTTGTTCTACCAAAACAAGACAGATGTGTAAGAAAGGCTCCTCGGCCTGCTGCTGGGGAATTCAGCACTACCACGGAGAGGAACTGAACCCACTGCTGAAAATTACACTCCTCCATCCTGGATGTAGCCAGTGAGCAGCTACTATTCACTCAGTCCAGAGAAGCAGCTATGTGACTAAAATCACCTCTTGTGCCCTCCCCTGGAAGGCACGCTTTTGGACTGCTCTGCCATTGCAAACATCTCACTGCCCCACCTCTGCCAGGAGTTGTTGACAGTGCCTTCTGGGTCCATATTTACACCGATGAAAATCACTATTAAACTACAAATATTAAAATATATTGCTGAACAGGCAGAGGAATGTTCTGTAGTAAACAGGCACAGGAGAGTGCAGTCTCAGCAAAGGCCTGGGAATTTGGAACTTCCGTATTATAATCCCCGTGCCAGCAAATCACTTCCCTTCCCTGTGCCTTAGTTTCCCCATTTATAAAACGAGGATGGCAGAAGTGACTTGTTTTGTAGGAGGGAAGTGAAGGGGAGGTGAGTTCTCTATAAAATAGATGAATATTATTGTCAGTAAACATGAGGCAGCCACCAGGCCTGAGGCTCTATACCTGTCATAGCATGGGATCTCCAGACCAAGTTCTTCCATCAGTAATCTCATAACATCATCACATTTCCCATGTAGTTTCAAGGCAGCAAGATCATCCTTTGGAGTCCACTGTGGGGGGCCAAGGAAGTGAAGATAAAAATCCAGACAGATTGAATGAGCAACCCTTATATGATCCCTGCACAGCACCCTATCCAGACCTAACAGCCTTGTATTGTGGCAGGGGACCCACGTCCCAGTCTGTCCCCTGCTCAAATTCACTGTCTAGCTCCCAGACTCTTTGTGGGTATGAATTCCAGCTTCCCCTGTACAGCAGGATGTAGGCGCAGAATCATTTCATATGAGGCTTTTCCCATTTTTTAACATCTCACCTGCAGGTTCACAATGTAGAGTTTTGGACGGCGACTGGGGGGTTTGCTCATGCACCAAAGATGTGGATACTTTTTCAAAACCTGGCATAAAATAGAGACTGTCAGTATAGCCAAAGGCAGATGTGAATGCTAGAATATATCTGTGAGAGCAAGTGGAATTTATTACCAGGAAGGGGATGAGGGAAGAGTCAGAAGAGAGACTACCCGGCACCAGGATTTATCACATGTGGTGGGCGAGGCCTGACACCACGGTCTTTGGGAGGAGACTGCTCCGCGCCAGGGTGCATCACCAAAGGAGAATGCTGCTAACAATCTTCACTGAGCGTCTAGTTACCTTTAAGCTGGAACCCAGACACAGAATCACATCTGCTTTGCTCGCAGCCTCTGTTGCTGCTTCCCAGTTCAGAGGTTCCCTCAAGGTCCCTTTCTCCCCAAAATGGACGATTGTGTCTCTCAGCTGTGTCCCACACTTATGGCACATCCTGCCCGTATGATGTCTGTGCAGGGCTGTGCGCTCCGTCACATCAAACACTCGCACATATTCTCTATTGGGTGTGCAGGAAGTACAGACCTTGTGCAGGAAGGAAGCAAGGAAATGCAGTTATGTAACAGGGAGGTTTGCCAGGGGCCTTGCATCAGTTAGCCTTGGTTTGAGGCAGAGCCCCTTTAACAATAGGCATTTCGCCCTGGTAGGGAATTCAGACCCAGCAGGTAAGGGGGGGGGGGGGGGGGGGGGGGGGCCCGGGTGGGCATGTGTTTCCTAAAGGGCGGAAAGGGCTCGCTTTCTAGGTGGGAGCTACAGGAAGTAGGGTAGTTCCTGTGGCAGGGGTATGCCTAGGCAGATTGTCTATAGGAGGACTGAGGAAGAGCTGCTGGATTTATGCTAAACTGTTTCATTTGGGGTTTTTCTAAAGACTATCAGTGCAACCAATACATTGTGCCCTGAAGAAAGGGCCTGAACAGACTCCAGGTGCGGCGTTTAATCCTTCGTGGACTGGGGAGACAGGCCAGCAGCCTACAACCCACTTGAGCCCACAGAATAGCAAGCCTGTGCCCTGGCTACTCACCTCTATGTACATGTTTCCATGAAGCTCAGATATTGCTGCTTGGGGTAACCCACTCCGTAGGTGGAGCCCATCACAGTTCTGAGACACCACATGCTGTACCTTGGAAGGAAGGAAGCAGAGCTGACATGGCAGGGAACTCTGAAAGCGTTCACCAATGAGGCAAACAGACTGATCTCAGTACAACCCCAGAATCTGAGCACAGTTGGCAGAGTCCAAGCAGGGTGGGAAAGAAATGACTGAGAAGACACAGAAACCAGCACACACTTATGACAGAAGTTAAAGGGCTCCCACTGCTATATAAAGCTCTGCTAGGAGTTATCACTATCGCTCTGCTAGGAGTTTTATAACAGGGACCCTCACCCATCCGCAGTAACAGAAGGGGGTGTGTGTGTGCGCGTGCGTGTGTGTGAGAGAGAGAGAGAGCGCGCTATGGAAAAGATGCTGCTGCAAAGGGTGGGAGTTACATCCAGGGGTGAAAGTGGGCTGGTACAGTGTGGTACCGGCCCGTATGCAGCGACACTAAAGCACTGCCAGAGAGTCCTTTGCCACGGCAGCGCTTTAATGTTGCTGCCCCACCCCACCCCCAGTCAGCAGCGGTGATGTGGAGGGGGGTGGGGGGAGAGAGGGGCAACGACATTAAAGCGCATAATTGTCCCACCCCGGGCCAACGGAGTGGGGGGCAAAAGGGCCAACTGCCCCAGGGCCAGCAATTTAAAAAAGCCCAGGGCTCTAGGCCGCCACCACTATCGGGGCTCCAGGCCACTGCCGCTACCAGGGCAGCGGCCGAAGCCCCGGGCCCTTTTAAATCACCACCAGAGCCCCAGGCAGCATGGGCCATGCAGTGCAAATGGGCTGGCTGGGGGAGGCTGACCCCCTCCAGCCCCGCCCCTTCCACCCGAGGCCCTGCCCCTTCTGGGGGCCCACTCTGGGCCCCCGTACCAGTAAGAATTTTATATTACTTTCACCCCGGTTACACTAATAAGACACTAGGTTTTTACAGGAGCACAAACCCTGCTGTTTTCATGTGGACATCTGGCCACCTTCCGTAAGTAACAGTAACTATGTTCAGTAACCCAAGGAACACTCCCAGCAACTGGTCTCTGTTGATTTTCCAGTCTCTCCCTTCAGATCCAGGTACTAGAGCACTAGTGAGCAGGGGGACCTTACCAGGTTGTGCTTGTGTAAGCAGGCAATGCTCATATGGGTGAGTGTGGGCTCCGCTTCACTCAGATCTGTAGCCCTGGCAAATGGAAAGGAAAAGGAACAGAAGAGGAGCTGTTAATCCCACATTCAGTCTTTGCCTTCTGCTGTGCAGCCCAGAAAGATACTCTTGGGAGGTTTGCAAAGACTGTCACCCCATTAGAGCAGAAGGAAAACACTTAGGAATGTCATCTGCTTACCTGATACTCCTCCCTTTCTGCAGTAACGTCCAAACTCCATTAGGACCCCTGTAGTCAGGGATTGAAGCTGCCTGCATTACAGGAGAAACAAAAGGAAAATTAGACCTGCTGAGAATGCTCCCCACACCACCAGTCCAACCTTGTTAGTTTATCTGACTCTCACTTTTCTACATTCCCCACAAATTCATCATCCCTCTCTCATACAGAAGCACATACAGGTCTGACTCACTTGTTTGAACTCCATGCTTAACTCACTCCGACAATTCATCCAGAATCATCATCCTTCACAGGGCAACATTCTGTCCATCTGCCCCATTCGTTCAGTTTCTGCATTTTTATATTAGATCCCTAGTATTCTCCTCCCTCGCATAATTGATATAATTTCTGCCACTTTTTCTCACTCAGTATTTCCTATTTCCCCACAAAGAACTCAATTCCTGAATCTTTCCATAGTTCCTCCAGATATGGTGGCATCTTTGCTGGCCTATGCTGGCCATTCTCCAGCACAAATGTCTATAGCACAGTAGCACCCAGACAACTCAGTCAGAATCATGCCCCCATAGGGACTGTAGAAAAAGAGAAGAAAATATGGTTCCTGCTTCAAAAAATTCACAATCAAAAGTGATAAGTGACATACACGGGCGGGATGTGCCTGATTTCAACACCCACTTCTCCCAGAAGGGACCACAAAGGCAGACCATTTTAATAGATCTTTATAACTTAAAAATTATGAAGTGCCTGCTAGACCTATCTGCCCTTCAACCTAGCCATCATTAACTGGCCAATTTCGTATTGGCTATAGGACAGAAGTGGGTCTTGAAGAGAAATCTGAAGGAGTGGCCTTACTGATCAGATCAAAAAGGACATTCTTTGTACAGTGATCTTGGCCGCTGCCTAGCACTTGACACTATCCCAGAAGGGCTCTGACAAATATCTTTGTACGCAGTCAGAGCCTCAGCCTCTCTGACTAACAAGTGTCTTCCTGAGACAAAACATGAAGGTGTCCTGCCCATCGTCCAGTCCCTAACCGTGGGCCAATCTCAGTCTGAATCCAGGATCCTAGGACTCCTAATACTTTGCTTACACACCTTCCTGGCCTCATGCAATCCACTCACTAGCCAAGAAAGATCTCTGTAGAATTTATGGCATAGAAACACTGCTGAAGAAGCTCCAGCAGCCTTAAACACTCATCCCATTCAACCCTACCGTGCTGATCCCAGCTCCTGTATAGATGACCAGGTGTTTCGCATTTCGGACAGCTGCAGCCAGTTCAATGACCTTTCTCTTTAATTCCTCTGGTTCATCACAAACCTAAAGAGAAGACAAGGAAGTTAGAGCAATCTCTCTAAGATGCAGTGCGTCACTCTACACAAATTGCTGGTTAACTCCCTTCTAGTCTCTTCTCTTTTTACGGAATCCTTAATGGCTTTAATTAAAAAATTTGAAAAAAAATTGTTTGAAAAGGATATCTTTTTCTCATGTGCATACCTTGATCCTAGATATCAATTCCTACTGACACAAGAAGACAAAGTCAAGGTAAAATTTAATTTAAGCAAAACGTGGATGAAAACGGAAATGTTTCAGTCAGAAGTAGAAAATAATTATGTAATAGTATCAATGTCAGACACGTCTGAAATTAAAAGACTGGATGATGAACTGCAACTTCTTCTTAAAGCTCATGAAATCTCCAAAAATAAAGAGATATCTGGATGAAGAAAAGCTCAAAAAAGGATTGGGACAATTCTTGATTCATTTGCAAATGAGCCACATCTCATTAAGAAAGAAATCATATTAAACTACTGGAAACATCATAAAAATGTCATGCCCAAGATGAATCAATTTACAGTTCCAGCAATACAAGTGAGTGGTGAAAGAACATTCTCAGGCCTCAGAAGTATCCTTTCACCGCACAGGTCCAATACAACACAGAAAATCTTACAAGATGTTATTTTAGTTTGTTCAAACATGTTGTTCATAAAAAAAATAAATTCTGTTTGACAGCACAAGAACACTAGGAAAATTCATGTAAAAGTTAATCAAAACAGTTTCAGGTCTTTTTTTAAATTTAAACCAGATTGAAATTTGATTTGACCTAGTTTGAATCAGTAAATGAAGTTTTTTGGGATTTTTTGATGGCTTGAACCAGAAAAGAACCCAAACACATAGAATACAACTGAACCCAAACCTGAACCAAAGCAAAATAAATACCAGTTTGACTCCCTGGTTCTCACTCTGCATCCCTGGAAGCTGCAGTGTCTCATCCTAGGGAGGGGCGGGGGGGGGGGGGGGGGGAGCTGGCATACAATGCCAGTCAGGAACAATTTCTTCTCTGAATAGAAAAGAATTGACATGGACTATTAAACCTTGATGGTGGGTTAGAAATCTCCTAGACAGTGACACGCTTACATGTCCTTTCCCAAAAGGACAATTCTCCACTGAATTTGATCCATTTTCTGACAGTTTCCCTGTCAGGCTAATTCTATAGATTACAGAAACTAGCCTCCATTTTTTTTTTACTGCCACTCATCATTATGCTATTGGAGCTCATGCAACAAGAGTTAGATAAGCAACATGGAAGTCCTTACCAGAGTCTGTCTCTTCTCCCTTTTCTAGTTAGAGGAAGCTCTGTTTGCTGTTGACTTTATTCTTTTAGTGGAAAAAAATATTTGTTGCAAGTGTCATTCTAGTTATGGTGGACACCTTTACCAAAGGTTAGACCTGAGACTCACTAGTCTACTCTGGAATTTCATTCCATACCTGACTCCTCTCAACTGAGAATTTTCCATCTCTCACATGCTTTGCTCTAGGTCGTGTGATCCTCATGGTCCCAGAGACGTGCAGGGTCCTGATCCTTAGCAGCTTGGAAGATTAGGACTATGCCTTTGAAGTGGCGGGGCAAGTGGACAGGGATCCAAGGGAGGGCGGAGGTCTGATGTGCTCACGTGGCTTAGCGGTTCATTGGATAACAATGATTATAGCGGGGTCCGCACGAGGGGCATTCAACGTCCCAGCACGGGCGAGCACCCACCTCCTCCTGCCTCCTGCGCAGCCCTTCGCGCTTCTTGCGCCGCCGCTCCAGCTCCCGCACGATATCCTCACACTGGCCCAGGAGCAGGCTCTCCTCAGGGTTCCGCTCCCCCACCGGCTTCTTCAGGATCCGGGACACCTGGCACCCGGAGAGCAAAGACACGGTCACCCACCGCGCCCGCCCGAGGGGGACCGCGGCGGGGTAGGACCGCGCTGCGGCGGCGGAGTCCGACGAGGGACCCGGGGCAAAGGGGAAGGGGCGGTACCTGTCTGCGCCGGTCCCGCTGCTCCTCCTGCTGCAGAATCTCGGCTCGTGCTGCCGCTTTCCGCTCCGTCCGGCTCAGGCTCCCGCCAGCCGCCATGACGGCCGCAGGATGCCGGCCGCTTCCGGGTACTGAGCCAAGAGTAGACAGACCTTGTACTTCCGCTTCCGGCTACAGAGTCGCGGGGGGGAAGGATGATGTTCACTTCCGGGCCAGAGCGGCTATTTCCGGGTAAAGAGAGTAGTTTGGGTTACAGGACAGAGCCCCCGCCTCTCACGTGCCTTTGCCCCGCCAGCCAGCAAAGCCCAGGGGGCGGAGCGATGCGCCAACGGCGCCTGCGCAGTGAAGCGCTTGGGCTCCGCGTCGGCCGCGGAGCGAGCGGGGCCCTTCGCCGGGCCGGGCCTCCAAACAGCACAGGGCAGCCGGCGCGCGCCCAGCCCTGACTCCCCCCCCGCCCCCCCGCCCCGCGCGCCCCCCCCCCCCCCCCCCCCCCTGCCCCGCGCTCCTCCACCTCTCACCTCAGAACTGTGGCGCTGGGTGTTCCCGCGCTGGCGGCGGGAGCCCGGCCAGGACCTAGCACCTCCCTCAGCCGGGATGGGCAGGAGCCAGTGCCTCAGCCTAGAACCCTGCCCGGCTCGAGGAGAGGCCTGGAGACAGCTGGGGGGTCAGAGGCTGCTCCCAACACCTCCCCCACCCCGGGGCGCCTGTAGGAGAGAGAAGCGTGGGGGGAGGTTGGGTCGTAACCTGACAGGCTGGCCCACTCCAGCCGCAGTATCTCACCCCTCCAACAGTGGCCTAGTGACAGGAGGGTGACCAGACGTCCCGATATTTCAGGGTGTGTCCCTTGTCGCAACCGATCTTTGGTCAGGACGCAAATTGTCCCGATATCCGCCAGCAGCCGTTTTTTGTTTGTTGCTCCGCCGGCGGGCACCCCCTCTCCCCCCGGTGTCCCAATAGTTGCTTTCCCTCATCTGGTCACCCTAAGTGAGAGCTTAAGTTTCCCCTGTAAGAGGTCACCATTAGCTAGCATCAGAAGGTGGAGATGGCAAGAGCTAGGGCTGAGCTGTAAAGAGGAGAGGACAGACGTTGATAAAGTACAGGTAGGAACTGAAGAGAAACCAACAAGAGAGTCGCATTCAATTACATCACATGAAGGCAGACAACGAAATAGTGACAAATTTTAGAAGCGGTTGTATAGAAATGCAAGAAGGGGGGAGGGATAGCTCAGTGGTTTGAGCATTGCCCTGCTAAACCCAGGGTTGTGAGCTCAATCCTTGAGGGGGCCACTTAGGGATCTGGGGCAAAATCAGTACTTGGTCCTGCTAGTGAAGGCAGGGGGTTGGACTCGATGACCTTTCAAGGTCCCTTCCAGTTCTAGGAGATAAATAAATTAATGGAGATACCTTATTTTTATTTAAGAAGCCTAAATACTAAGATGGATGAACTCGAGCGCCTAGTATTAACTGAGGATATTGATATAATAGGCACCATAGAAACTTAGTGGAATGATAATCAACGGAACACTGAAGAGTCAAATATGGTAAAAAATCTTAAATTAATTAAACAGTACCGTAAAATCTCTACCAATGGAAGTTCTGTGCTTGAAAAATAAAGGCATAGCAGTAGGAGTATATTACCACCTGACCAGGAGGGTGATGGGGATTGTGAAATGCTCAGAGAGATTAGAGAGGCTACAAAAACAGAAAACCCAACAATAGTGGGAGATTGCAACTATCCCCATATGAATTGGTACCCGGCCCCCTCAGGATGGGATGCAAAGACAATAAAAATTTCTAGACACCATTGACTGCTTCTTGGAGCAGTTTGTCCTGGAACGCACAAGGGGAAGAGGTAGTTCTTGATTTAGTCCTAAGGATCTACTCCAAGATGTGAATGTAGCTGAACCACTTGGTAACAGCAACCATAACATAATTAAATATAACATCTTCGTAGGAAGGAAAATACCAAAGAAACCAACCACAGTACCATTTAAGTTCAAAAAGAGGAACTATACAAAAACAAGGCAGCTAGTTACGAACAGTCATGAGAGTGAAATGCCTGCAAACTGCATGGAATTTTTAAAAACACCATAATAGAGGCTCAAACAAAATGTATACCCGAAATAAACAAAAACAACCAAAAAAAAAAGTCACCATGGCTAAACAGCGTAAAACAGGCAGGTAAAGTTCAAAAAGACATTTTAAACATTGGAAGTCAAATCCTGCTGAAGAAAATAGAAAGGAGCATAACCTCTGGCAAGTCAAGTGTCAAAATATAATAAGGCAGTCCGAAAAAGAATTTGAAGAGCAACTAGCAAAAGACACAAAAACTAACCAGCAACATTTTTTAAAGTATATGGGAAGCAGGACGCCTGCCAAACAGTTGCTGGGGCCACTAGATGACTGAGGTGCTAAAGGAACACCCAAGGAAGACAAGGCCATTGCAGAGAAACAAAATGAATTCTTCGCATCAGTCTCCACTGCAGAGGATGTGAGGGAGATTCCCACACCATAGCCATTCTTTATAGGTGACAAATCTGAGGAACTGTCCCAGATTGAGGCGTCAATAACAGAAGTTTGGAACACACTGAACAGTAATAAGTCACCAGGACCAGATGGTATCACCCAAATACGAAATTGCAGAACTACTGTGGTATGTAACCTATCGCTTAAATCAGCCTCTGTACCAGATGACTGGAGGATAGCTAAAGTAATGCCAATTCTTTAAAAAGCCTCCAGAGGCAATCCTGGCAATTACAGGCCGGTAAACCTAATCTCAAAGAGCAGAATGATCAGACAGAGGAACACGATACAATTGGGAAGAGTCAATATGGCTTTTGTAAAGGAAAATCATGCCTCACTAATCTATCAGAATTCTTTGAGGGGGTCAACAAACCTATGAACAAGGGTGATCCAGTGGATATAGTGTATTTGGACTTTCAGAAACCCTTGACAAGGTCCCTCACCAAAGGCTCTTAAGCAAAGTAGGCAGTCATGGGATAAGAGGGAAGGTCCTCTCAGGGATCACTACCTGGTTAAAAGATAAGAAACAGGGTAGAATAAATAGTCAGTTTTCATAGTGGAGAGAGGTAAACAATGATGTCCCCCCCAAAAAAATCTGTACTGGAACCAGTTCTGTTCACCGTAATCATAAATATGGAAAGGGGTAAACACTGAGGTGGCAAAGTTTGCAGATACAAAATTCTACAAGATAGACAAGTCCAAAGCTATCTGTGAAGAGTTATAAAGGGGTCTCACTACACTGGGTAATTGGGCAACAAAATGGCAGATTAAATTAATTGTTGATAAATGCAAAGTAATGCATATTGGAAAACAATCCCAATTATACATTCAAAATGGAGTCTAAATTAGAAAGAGATCTTGGCGTCATAGTCTGAAAATATCTGCTCAATATGCAGCGGTAGTCAAAAAAAGCCAACAGAATGTTAGGACCCATAAGGAAGAGGATTGATAAGACAAAAAATACCATGATGCCACTATATAAATACATGGTACACCCACACCTTGAATACTGCATACAGTTCTGGTCACCCCATCTCAAAGAAAGATACATTAGAATTGGAAAAAGTATAGAGAAAGGCAAAAAAAGTGATTAGGGGTATGGAACGGTTTCCATGAGAGGAGAGATTTAAAAACTGGTACTGTTCAGCTTGGAAAAGAGATGACTATGGTGGGAATATGATAGAGGTCTCTCTCTCTCTCTCTCTGTACGTATATAAGGTTCATGAATAGTGTGGAGAAAGTAAGTGCTATTTACCCCTTCATATAAAACAAGAACCAGGGTCACCCAATGACATTAAATAGGCGGTAGATTTAAAACAAACAAAAGGAAGTATTTCTTCACACAACATACCGTCAACCTGTGGAACTCATTACCATGGGATGTTGTGAAGGCTAAAAGGATAACAGGGTTCAAAAAATAATTAGATAAGTTAAATACAAAATAAAATTATATATATCTATACATAGACACACACCTATCTCATAGAGCTGGAAGGGACCCTGAAAGGTCATTGAGTCCAGCCCCCGGCCTTCGCTAGCAAGACCAAGCTTCCCTAAGTGGCCCCCTCAAGGATTGAACTCTGGGTTTAGCAGGGCAATGCTCAAACCACTGAGCTATCCCTCCCTCTGTTCATGGCAGGGATCCAGCCCCATGTTCTGACTGTCAGAAGCTGGGACTGTACTATAGTAGATGGATCACTTGATAAATTGCCCTCTTCCATTCATTCCCTTTGAAGTATTTGGTACAAACCACTGTCAGAAGACAAGATACTTGGCTAGGGATCATTGGTTTGATCCAGTGTGGCCATTCTTATGCCCTCCGTATGTTCTTATCCTGCCAAAGGCAACACAACAAGTTGCAGGCACATCATGGTGTAGTTGCAGCTTGGAAGAGGCCTTAGAGCCAAAGCCTGCCTTCTCTGTGGAGAGGCTCATGACTCTATGGGCTCTTTCTAAGTTGGGTAGAGTTTGCCCTGGCGTCTTTGGCCAGCTTGCCCTCGCCACACTGATGTGTGTCCACTACCACCCCAACCCCCAGAGGTATCACATCCCTGGGGCTCTCCAGTGTTCAAAATGAGAAGTGTGCAAGGGGATACTGTGAACCTCTGGGCTCTGATTCTTTGCACCTTGGAGCCTGTGCTCTAGGGTTTTCTCTCCCTTTACTGCCCCACTGCCAACCTCTAACTTTATTCTCTCTTCCTCCTGCTGAGGGAGGGGATTTCAGCCAAGGCTGGTTTATGTGTTTTTCCATGGAGCCACGTCTCAGCATCAGGTCAATGGATCCCTCTCTACTCAGTGCTTGTGAAGCCCTTTAAAGAACGTCTCCACCTGGGGAAAGACATGGCTGGGTTCTCCCTCTTACCCCAAACTTCAGTTCTAGTCTGGGGCAGCATCTCCTCCATAAAGAAGCCATTCCATCATTCAACAGTGTCCATGAAGTGAGGTGTAAGTGCCCTTTGCACTCTAGTCCAAAGTATTGCACCTTTCTCCTGAGACACAGGATGACAGGGGATACACCTGGAATCGATTGTGTCTTCTGTTCAACACATTGGAGTCTTGTCTACGTGCAGTTTTTGTATTGTTTTAACTATATTGGTTTGAAACTCAGTTAAAGCTGTACAACCCTCTAACGTGGACACAGTTATACCAGCATAGCTTATTCCCATAAGTGGACAGAAACAAACAATATCACTATAAAGGAGAGATGAGGTATGTAAGGTAGTATCTTATCGGTTGATGACTGTGCGTGACCTTGGTGGAAAGGACAAGCTGTTAAGTTCACAGAGCTCTTCTTCAGGTCTGGAGAAGGTAAACAGATCGTCCAAGCTAAATACAACATGGGAGAAATTGTT